ATCAGACTAGCAACTGATTTCTCAACAGAAACTTATCAGGCCAGAAGGGAATGGGATGAAATATACAAAGTCATGCAAAGTAAGGGTCTGAATCCAAGAATACTGTACCCAGCAAGGCTATCAATCAAAATTGAAGGGGAAATCAGGAGCTTCACAGACAAAAAAAGACTGAAGGAATTTATCTCCACCAAACCAGCAATGCAAGAAATGCTAAAGGGTCTATTGTAAAAATAAAGAAATAAGAAGTGAAGAAGGAACACGGGTATAGAATAAAAGTGGCATCAAATGAGCACCTATCAATAATAACCTTAAATGTAAATGGATTAAATGCTCCAATCAAAAGACATAGGGTAACAGATTGGATAAGAAAACAAGACCCATACATCTGTTGTCTACAAGAAACCCACCTCAGAAAAAGAGATGCACACAGACTGAGGGTGAAGGGATGGAAAAAAGTTTTCCAGGCAAATGGAAATGAAAAAAAAGCTGGGGTAGCAATACTTATATCTGACAAATTAGATCTCAGAGTGAAGGACATAATAAGAGATAATGAAGGCCACTTCATAATACTAAAGGGAACAATCCAACAAGAAGAAATAACCCTGGTAAATATATATGCACCCAATACAGGAGCAACCAAATACATTAAAAAACTGCTGGAGGACATTAAGAGAGAGATTAATAGCAATACAATCATAGTAGGAGATTTTAATACCCCACTGTCACCCTTCGACAAATCATCTAAACAAAAAATCAGCAAAGAATTATCAATCCTAAATGACTCACTAGACCAGATGGAATTAATTGACATCTTCAGAACACTGCACCCCAAAGCCACAGAATATACATTCTTCTCAAGTGCACATGGAACATTCTCAAAGATAGACCACATTTTGGGACATAGGCAAAGTCTCTTCAAATTCAAGAAGATAGAAATCATATCAAGTATCTTCTCAGACCATAATGGCATAAAACTGGAAATTAACTTCAAAAAATATACCAAAGAAATCAAACACATAGAGACTAAACAGCATGCTATTAAAGAAGGATTGGGTTACCAGAGAAATCAAGGAAGAAATTAAAAACATCCTGGAAACAAATGACAATGAAAACACAACAATCCAAAATCTATGGGACACAGCAAAAGCAGTTTTGAGAGGGAAGTTCATATCCTTACAAGCCTATTGCAAAAAACTAGAAAAAAGGGTAACAGATGATCTAACTCTACAACTCAAAGAGTTAGAAAAGGAGCAACAAGAAAAGCCCAGTGTAAGCAGAAGGAAGGAAATATCAAAAATCAGAGCACAGATAAATGACATAGAGACCAAAAAAACAATACATAAGATCAACAAAACCAAGAGCTGGTTCTTTGAAAGGATAAACAAGATAGATGGACCTCTAGCCAGGCTAACCAAGAAACAAAGAGAGAGGACCCAAATAAACAAAATCAGAAATGAAAGAGGTGAAATAACAACAGACCCCACCGAAATACAACAGATTGTTACAAAATACTACGAACAACTCTATGCCAACAAACTGAACAACCAGGAGGAAATGGACATATTCCTATAAAAATACAAACTTCCAAAACTCAATCAGGAAGAATCTAAAAATCTCAATAGACCAGTGTCTTGGGAAGAAATGGAAACAGTCATCAAAAAGCTTCCAACAAACAAAAGCCCAGGGCCAGATGGCTTCACAGGAGAGTTTTACCAAACATTCAAGGAAGAACTAAAACCTATCCTCCTCAGACTATTCAAAAAAATCCAAGAGGAAGGAACACTTCCAAACTCCTTCTATGAAGCCAGCATCACCCTAATACCAAAACCAGATAAAGACAACTCAATGAAAGAGAATTACAGGCCAATATCCCTCATGAACATAGATGCCAAAATCCTCAACAAAATTCTAGCAAATCGTCTCCAGAAGAACATCACAAAGATCATACACCATGACCAAGTAGGATTTATTCCAGGAATGCAAAATTGGTACAATATCCGCAAATCAATAAATGTGATACATCACATAAACAAATTGAAAGATAAAAATCATATAGTCATATCAATTGATGCAGAAAAAGCATTTGATAAAATCCAACACCCTTTCCTGATAAAAACTCTTAACAAGGTGGGAGTACAAGGATCATACCTCAAAATAATAAAAGCCATATATGATAAACCCACGGCCAACATTATACTCAATGGGCAAAAACTAAAACCATTCCCTCTAAGAACAGGAACAAGACAGGGATGCCCACTCTCTCCACTCCTGTTTGACATAGTACTGGAAGTACTAGCCATTGCAATTAGACAAGAGGAGGAAATAAAAGGCATCCAAATTGGAAAAGAAGAAGTAAAGTTATCCTTATTTGCAGATGACATGATATTGTACATAAAAAACCCAAAAGACTCCATTAAAAAACTAATTGACTTAATAAATGAATTTGGCAATGTAGCAGGATACAAAATTAATGCCAAGAAATCCATGGCATTTCTATACACCAACAGTGAAACTACAGAAACAGAGACTAAAAAAGCAATTCCATTTACTATCGCACCAAAAAAATTAAGATACCTAGGAATAAATTTAACTAAGGAAGGAAAGGACCTATATGTAGAAAACTACACGACACTGAAAAAAGAGATAGAGGAAGATGTAAGGAGATGGAAGAATGTACCATGTTCATGGATTGGTAGAATCAACATCATCAAAATGTCCATACTTCCTAAAGCAATCTATAGGTTCAATGCCCTCCCCATTAAAATACCAACGGCATATTTCACTGACCTAGAAAGAACTCTACAAAAGTTCATTTGGAACAATAAAAGACCCCGAATAGCCACAGCAATCCTGAGAAAGAAGGGTAAAGTAGGAGGGATCTCAATACCAGACTTCAAACTGTATTACAAAGCCACTGTTCTCAAAACAGCCTGGTACTGGCACAAGAACAGACATATAGATCAATGGAATAGAATTGAGAACCCAGATATCAACCCAAATCACTATGCTCAATTAATATTTGACAAAGGAGGCATGAATATACAATGGAGTCAAGACAGTTTCTTCAATAAATGGTGTTGGGAAAATTGGGCAGACACATGCAAAAGAATGAAACTAGATCACCAACTTACACCATACACAAAAATAAACTCAAAATGGATGCAGGACTTAAACATCAGACGGGAAACCATAAAAATACTAGAAGCATCCACAGGCAGCAAAATCTCAGACGTATGCCAAAAGAACTTCTTCACTGATACTGCCCCTAGGGCAATGGAAGCTAAAGAGAAAATAAACAAATGGGACTACATCAAAATAAAAAGCTTTTTTACAGCAAAAGAAACCATCAACAAAACAACAAGAAAGCCCACGGTGTGGGAGAACATATTTGCTAATAACACCACTGATAAAGGTTTAATCTCCAACATCTACAGACAGCTGATACAACTAAATAAAAGGAAGGTGAATGATCCAATTAAGAAATGGGCAATGGATCTAAATAGAATATTTTCAAAAGAAGACAGAAGGAAGGCCAAAAGGCACATGAAAACATGCTCAAAGTTACTAATTATCCGAGAGATGCAAATCAAAACAACAATGCGGTACCATCTCACACCTGTCAGAATGGCCAACATCAACAAATCAACAAACGACAAGTGTTGGCGAGGTTGCGGAGAAAAAGGAACCCTCGTGCACTGCTGGTGGGAATGCAGACTGGTGCAACCACTGTGGAGAACAGTGTGGAATTTCCTCAAAAAACTGAAAATGGAACTCCCATTTGATCCAGTATTCCCACTCCTAGGAATATATCCCAAGAAACTAGAAACACCAATCAGAAAGGACATATGCACCCCTATGTTCATAGCAGCACAATCTACAAGAGCCAGAATTTGGAAACAGCCTAGGTGCCCGTCAGCAGATGATTGGATCAAAAAACCATGGTACATCTACACAATGGAATACTATGCTGCCATAAAAAAGAAGAAATTCTCATCATTTGCAGCAACCTGGATGGAATTGGAGAACATCATGCTGAGTGAAATAAGCCAATCAATGAAAGAGAAACACCACATGACCTCACTCATTTGTGGATAATAAAGATCATTATAAACTGATGAACCAAAAGATAGATACAGAGACAGTAAAGCAACAAGCAGATTGTTAAATATCAGTGGGGAGGGTAGGAGGATCTGGGGGAGATAATAGATCAACTGAAGGACTTGTATACATGCATATAAGTACAACCAATGGACATAAAGCTCTGGGGAGAGAGGGGATGGGTGGGAGGGAGGGAGGGGGGAAAATAAAATAAAAATAAAAAAAAAAGATACTTGATAAAATTTGAGGGTTAAAACAAATGACCTGTTCAGTGTTCAGACTCTTCTCAAGATTTTAGTATCCATTATTTCATTTGTTAAATTGAAATATATATTGTATATATATATATATAGATAGATAGATAGATAGATAGATATAGGTATATAGATATATAGATATATAGATATATAGATATATAGATATATATATGGATATATATATATATATTGGTATATATATATTCTTTTGATGTGCTCAAAGATCTTTAAAAATTATGAACTATTACTTTTTAAAATAAATCAAACAAATTATAATCTTAGAATATATTGTTCAAGCTACATATGGAACACTTCTGGGGTTTTTATATTCATTGAGTCCTCCTTCCTACCCTAATTCACCACCAGTCACTGAAATATCTACTTGTAACTACCTTCTGGTTTACTCCTTTGGAATAAAGGCCCCATTGTCAAGGTTAATTGTGGATTAGATTCCTATAAGGGTATTTGGGATCAGCAATAACCAACTTATCTCTGGGTTTAAAACCAATATTAAGGTCTATGAATAAAAAGAAGCAATCTTTTCTGAAGTGCTTTTGTTTACCTATTTGTTTTAATAAGCAATCTTTAATTATTTACTCAGCCTTGTGTCAGAGAAAGTCCATGGCAGTCTGGATTTCAGCCTCAGGTCAAGGTTCTCCCCAGCTGCTGGGACACTAAGCAACTAACAATTGCAAATGCTCTTTTGAAGTTCTCTTAACATGGGTCTTTGATATATTTGAAGCAGTTGTCTCTTCAGTAGCAGCTTCGGTGCAGATACTTCAAACAAAATTATGGAACTTCAAAGACAGAATTTAAAGACAACATCGTCATTTTCTTTAGGACAATTTCACATTTCTGAAGACTGTGGTTTTCTTCTTCCAAAACCTCTGGTAAGCATAGAGCCTTTGATCAGGTCAGAATGTATTGGTGGTTTGTAGGTTTGTGTGATTGATTTATGTAGTTATTCAGAAAGATACAACACAAATACCACGTTGTTGACTTGGGGAAAAATGCTACAAATAATGCAAAGCATAATTCCCAACAAAAGAAAAGAGAACTAAGTAGAGGAGAGTCCAAATGGAATGTTTTACTGCCATTTTTCTTTTTCTTTTTTTTCTTCTTTTAGAATAGAATGTTGGTTCAATAAAGTTACGAGAAAATATAGTAGTTATAAAAAAAGGTAGAACTTAGGTAGAGATCAATTATATGAGCAAACCAATTTATCTTGACTTTCTAGTGGGACAGAAAAGAGAACACAAAGGACTTAGAATGTTTTCAGGGTTGATAGGAGAGATTAGGTATTTACAAAGAAGAGGAAAAAACTGTTGAGAGAGAACAGTACTTATTGTTAATTCTACTTAAGGTTCAACAGGTAATGTAATTCTATTTTATTGGTTAACCCTTATCAACACTTCTGCTTTGAATGTGGCCTGAGGCCTACAGTGCTAAAACTAAGAAACCATAGAATTCACAACCAGTAACTTTTACATTTGGGCTAGCTGAAGTCTAAAGGAAGTTGGTTTGCTCAAAGTCATAGTAGTGACAAAAGCAGAACTAGTACTCTGGACTCTTGACATATTTTTTTCCTACTATTATACATGGTAGATAAAGGGCAAGACCACTCAGTTAAACTCGGGATCTGATATTACTATCATTGCAGTAACTTATTAGATTCACATTGTTTTTCCCCCATAGGCCTAAATTGCCAATTAACTGTGTTTAAGAATGGTCTATAAGTTAATAAGTTTTTATTGTACAATTACTGTGACACTTCCTTCTGAGTTTTATTAGAGGAACATAGATGAAGATAGCATCCATTCACTGGTCCTAAAAGCTCTGTTGTAGAACTGCTAGTTGTGAGACCAAGTGGTAAATCTGTGAGTAACCTGAGCATTTAAAAAAATAATAATAGCCGAAGCCGGTTTGGCTCAGTGGTAGAGCGTCGGTCTGTGGACTGAAAGGTCCCAGGTTCGATTCTGGTCAAGGGCATGTACATTGGTTGTGGGCACATACCCGATAGGGGGTGTGCAAGAGGCAGTTGGTCGATGTTTCTCTCTCATCGACATTTCTAGCTCTCTATCTCTCTCCCTTCCTCTCTGTAAAAAAATCAATAAAATATATTTTAATAATAATAATAATAACTTCAGAGTGTTATGCAAGATAGGACTGTAGCCATGAGTACTGGATTATGCTTTTTGACACTGCCACTAGGATTACCAAGTTTCCATTTATTAGAAAATGAGGGGATTCCAAAGATGTGGAATTTTACATGTTAGACCAGAAAAGTCCTGGGCAAACCAGAATGCATCGGTCACCCTAACTTGCACTTACAAACTCTTGACCCCATCAGTGAATCATAAGTATTACCTGGCCTCCAGTTCCATTTCTATTGGATGGAGATATAGTGCCATCCTCACTCACTGGGTTGCTATGGAGCCTGAAAAGCACTTTGATAAATGCAGTGTAAGTACTAAGAAGCCATTTATCCTGATCCTCAGTCCATTGCTCCTTAAGAACTTCATTCTGGCCGAAACCAGTTGGCTCAGTGGATAGAGTGTCGGTCTGTGGACTGAAAGGTCCCAGGTTCGATTCCGGTCAAGAGCATGTACATTGGTTGCAGGCCTATCCCTGGTAGGGGGTGTGCAGGAGGCAGCTGGTCGATGATTCTCTCTCATCGATGTTTCTAGCTATCTATCTCTCTCCCTTCCTCTCTGTGAAAAATCAATAAAATAAAAAATAAAGTAAAAAAAGAACTCCATTCTGTGTGTGTAACTTGACTCAGGAGTCTTCCCAATATCCCTAGTTCACAAGGAGGAGAGGGCCCAGAAGCAAACAAGCTCTTTTTGGGATTAAATATTTAAACCGAGCTAAGGAAAAATATTATAAACATTGAGGAGGGCCACAATTATTGAGTTTCTCTCTTCGTTGCTTCTACTTTGTAAATTTAAAAAATGAGAAACAATAACAACATCAAGTGTTGTCCTGAGTCAGACCATAATTGTCCTGTGATCTGGTTGATGGAGATCCCCTAGTAGAAATTTCCATTATTTGAGCTCATATAAAAATTTCCTGGCAAACTGGGTCTACTTTATTACAGCCATAGACCAGATGTCTACAAGTGTAGTTGTTTATTTCAGTTTTTGTTTTCTTTTTCATTTTCATTTTCATTTGCGTGAGAAGTTTAAATATCTCCCTTTCTGGGAAGAGGTGTGGGAAGTAAGAATCCATCCTGGGTTGCTCACTCTCCTCATGAGGAGAGCCTGTCATCAGCTTCTCCAGGCAGCAGTACTGTTGCAAAAAACAGTTCAGAAGGGAATCTATTAGTCACCAGCTTAGCCAAGGGCACGAATAAGCTTTGCTTTCCTTTCATTTAAAGCAAGTGGTGGACACAAAACTCTGGGGAGGGAGGCATGTATGCGAGGAGGGGGGAAATGGTATATGTACAGAGATAATAATTTAATTAAAAAATAAAATAAATAAATAAATAAATAAAGCAAGTGGTGGGAAGGCTGTTCTTCTAGGTCAGCTGGTTTCAATATGTTTGCTAATCAAACTTAACATAAATATTTACTTCAAAGTCTCTCTGAAAAAAACCACAGTCAAGCTAATGAATAAGCAAACATTCTGGCTTTGGGGAGAAGGGGCTGACTTGGTTTCAAATGCTCTATTTCCATAAATGCTCAAACATTTCCGGGGTCCACCATTTCGGTTTGGAAAATGTATACATCTCAGACTCATGGACATAAATATAACACAAAATCTTTGCCAGTGTGTGTGTGTGTGTGTGTGTGTGTGTGTGTGTGTGTGTTTGGTTTGATAAGAGAGGGTGGTAATTTTTCTTTATATATAAAGAATCTGAGGAAATTAGCTTGGCAGGAAAGGAAGGACCAGGTCAATTATAGCAGAAGATAAGACTGGAGTAGAACTAAGAGTCCTTGAAAATTAGCCTTAAGAATTTGAATTTCATACATCTGATGAATGCCATGAGGTAACTGGCATTTGAATGTTTTTCTAGAAGAGTGTTAAGTGCAGGGCGGGTTAGAGCAGCAGTTTTTGGAGTGCATACCAGAATGGCTTGGGGAGCTTTAAAAAAGACAGATGCCAGCCCTAGCTGAATAGCTCAGTTAGAGTGTTGTCCCAATAAAGCCAAGGTTGCTGTTTGATCCTCAGCCAGGGCACATACAAGAATCAACCAGTGAGTGCACAAATAAGTGGAACGACAAAAATTGATCTCTCTCTCCTTCTCTTTCTTTCCTCTTTTTTTTCCTTTCCTCCCTCTAAAAATCAAGCAATAATAAAAATTTTAAGAAAATACTGATGTCAGAGCACCAACCTGAACAGTTAATTCAGAATCTTTAGCCTAAGTAGCTCAGTATTTGAAAAGCATGGAATAAATAGAAGACAGTGCAAGTCCAAATGAGAAAGGAAGCAAAGGAAAGAAGGACTTTCAAATGTGCCATGGAGCAGAAGCAAAGGACTGGTGCCAATATCCTGGGATGTGGGAAACTTTATTCTTTATATTGATCATGCAATCATTTAGAAAAAATACATACATACTTTCCTGTAAAATTCAAAACACTTGATAGAAGCAATAGACTCCAGCTGCTTAAAAAGAAGAGTAGCAAAATAATTGCCACAGAAGGCTATGGTCTCCAGACATAGGAAGAATTCAGATACTTCCCTGAAAAATTGTCAACTCTGCTAGGATCTGGGGCTTGCCTGATGGTGTTGACTAGGAATTTGAGGCAATGATGGGAATATATTATAGTAGAGACAGAGACAGAAAGATCAAACTTCACAGCAGTTAATGTGAATCCATTAAAATGGGTTAGCAGTGAAGAAGATTGGATGCCAAAATTTAAGAACCAAGAAAGGTGAATAGAGCAAAAGGGGAAATAGACATAATAAGGAGAAGCAGGAGGAGGGACAGACAGGATAGTTTGCTAGGAACCAGAAATCTAAACAATGAAGCAACTTAGAGTTTCTCAAATAGAATATCTAAGCTGTACAGAAACTTGAAACAACATGGAGAGAGGTGAGCAGGCAAACATTAGGCATAAGAAAACAGACATCATTTCAGTCCAAATGAGGCTCAGGAAGTGAATTCGTTTCTTTGGGCCATCATAAGAGAAGACCACAATTTTGGTGGCCTAAAATTATGGAAATTTATTCTCTCAGAGTTCTGGAGGTCAAAGGTCTGAAATCAGGGTGTCCCTAGACCCACTGTCCCTCCAAAGGCTCTCAGAGAGTCCTTCCCGCCACTTCCATCTTTCCATGGCTCTTGTGGTAAATGACTCTGCTCTCTTGCCTCCATCTTCACATGGCTTTGGCTATGTCTGTCTTCTCCCCTCTTTCTGTCTTCAATTTTAAGGACACTTGTCATAGGATCCACCCTAACCCAGGATGATCTTCTCTCTCTATCATTAAATCACATGAGCAAAGACCCTTTTTCCAAATAGTTACATTCACAATATCTAAGTGGACATATCTTTGGATGGGGTCATCATTCAACCCACTGCAGGGAGTGAGGAAAAAAGACAGAGCTAGAGGGAGAGAGCTGGAAAAGTAAAACATTGTTTTGCCCTGAGATTTCCCAAACCTGACCATACAGGCATGGGAAGGTGAAAGACCATGAAAAGTGAGGGCGCAAAATAAAAAACAGTCAATGAGACACATGGCTGAGTTCAATATCATTGACAGGTTTTATAGAACAATATTAACCCATGTTCTCCAGCATGATTTAGATATGCTGAAGAAAATTCATAACCTAAGCTGTAAAATAATAGCTTCAAGATCAGAAGAAACTCATAATATGAGACACAGTATGGGCAAAGGTAGGCAATAGGAGCTCAAGTGAAGCCTTATTTTTAAGTGTGACCACAGTAAGAAT